TTGACCTCAGTTGGTTTTTGCTCCAGTGAGTTTAAACCCAGCGTGCGTGTGCCCCCCCCCCACACACACAGTTCTACCTGACAGGGCCATGCTGGGCTCAGAGATGATCCCAAGGGCTCGGATTTAGGGACCTCGACACCCACATTTACTGGCTCTTTGCCCACTTCTCTGGCTCTGAGGCACATTCCCCCATTCTTCATTAGTTAACTTTCCTTGTGCAGGTCCTATGGCTGAGGGCTTCCCTCAACCATAGGACCTGCAACCTGAGGGAGTAGGTACTCTTAGTAACCCTGTTTTTCAGTTGGGAGAAACTGAGGCAACCAAGAGCATCTGTACAGAGCCACTCATTATTTGCCTTCTCTGCACTCCCCTCCACCCTGTGACATTGATACCTCAGTGATGTCCTCAGTAGAGTAGGTCCCTAGATCAGGTGGGAGAACAGCCAGACTCAGCCCTGAAAGCAGGCCATCTGTGACCCTGACTTCTTTGCTCAGCCCTATGATAAGCAGAAATGGACTGTGGTGGACATGACCAACTGTGTAGAAGACGTACACATTCCCTGCTCACATGGGAGGGTGCTGCTCAGCCACGGACTACATCTCCCAGGATCCTTTGCAACAACTCTGGCATGTGACTGGCATCTACCAATGGAGAGGAGCCAGGGATTTAGACCTTGGTGCCCTTCTTCACCTCCCTCCCTCATCAGCTAAGTGATACAGAGGATTCTGAAGCCTTAGAGCAGGCAGAGCCACCAGATGGGTGGAACCAGGGTTCCAGAATCACCACATGGAGGCAAGCTGCTTATCAACCAGAAACATCCCCTTAGAGCAGGAAATAAGCAAATAAATGTACTTTGTGCTAAGTCCCTGATGATTTCAAGTTTGATAAAGCACTTAGCAACAGCCTCACCCAAACATGACCCATGGCCAGCAAAGTGCCCAAGATTCCTAAGGCTTTGTTCTCACCTGCATTTGACCAGGGCGCCCCGGCCTAGGAGACCCCAGTGAATCCCAGGAAGGCCTGTGGCATCTTGTCCTCATTTATAGATGCTGCAGTGGAGGCCCAGAGGGCAGCAATGTGTCTGTGGCATCATCATGGGCCGGTCTGGAGCTCAGGAGGTGAAGGCTGAAGGGCAGTCAGCACCACCCAGCTACAGGAGTGCGTGATGCTCCATGCAAGAGAGCAGAGAGGCAAGGCTTGAAGACACTTCTGTGCGGGTGTCTGGAGGTCTCTGTGAGCTTCCTGCCATGCAAACTCCTCCTCCCATCCTTCCTGACCCTTCCTCTCCCAACTCCCCTGGGGACCAGGTAGGACTGGGCTTTTCCAAGGTGGGCTGATGGAGGCGGGACCCCAGGAGGAAACCCACTTCCAGGCCCTGCCCTGGGCTCCAAGGACCACACTGGCTCCAACAGCCAAAGTGCTGGGAGAAACCTGGCCTCTGAGAAAGAAAGGCAGCAAGCACAATGTTTTATTAGTGCTCCAGACATTTATTTCCTGAGTTAACAACAATAATAAACTCGTTTACAGCTGTGAGTTTCATTGCCTCCCCATGGGGCGCCCACCTGCTGCCACCCACTGTCGGCGTGTTTGCGGCTCGGAGCACAGAGGGCAGCCTGGCAGCTGGCACAGGTGGGCTCTGCCTCCCAGCAGCTGGGTGGGCTGGGTGGGCTGGGTGGGTCCCCGGGTAGGACCAGGAGCAGTGCTTCTGCCTCAGGGCACTTACCTGCAGAAATTCAAAATAATGGCAAGGTACAGCTGCCCTTCCTACAGCACGGGAGCTCGGGTGCAGGCTTTTAGGACAAAGTCATTCCCAGGTGTGGCAGCCACCTTTTTAGTGCCCTGCCCAGCAACCTCACTGCCTCCTCTAGGCCTAGCCTGGCTCTCACTCTCCCTCCAGTGACAACCACGTGGGACCCTGCAGGCTTTTATCTCCCAGTCTAGCTGGGAAGAGCTGTCAATCTCTTTTTCCTTTCCTGTTCTCACTATGGTGGTCCCTGGTCCCCTTCATCATAACACTGGCGGCATGGACCATAGTAACACAGCTGGTGTTGCTCAGGGGCTGCGCCTTGTCCTGTGACTCTTCTCTGGACCAGGAGCCATGGCAGATGCCGAGAGAACAGAGATGGGGGAGAAGGATGCTATGAATTAATGAAGATATGACTCTCCTTATGGTGTTGTAGTTCTTTAAAAATTCACTCAAAATAACCATGCTCCTGGGGCTGTGAACTCCCTCCCAGGTTCTAATTGCTCCTTTGTGCCTCATCCTCCAGCTCTGCACAATTTGCTTTGCTTGCTATTTCTTTGAAGTGTTCCAGAGTTTTCTCTGAGCAGGATAGGGGCAGGGGACAGGACAGGTGGGAGGGGTGTGAGGATCTTTGCAATCTCCTCGCCCAGGGGTTCTCAAGAGCTTGACTGTGCATGGAATCCCCAGGAGGATAGGTACACAGCCGGCTGCCAATTCCTAGGTCTGGGATGGGGACAGAGACCGTGCATTTCCAGGGATGCTGATAATGTTGGTCCCTGGGCCACATTTTGAGCTCCTGCACCCAGGGTTCTGGTAGAAGAGCTCTGGGGTTCATTAGAGTCAAGCTCAAATCCAGCTCTGTGTAGGTTACTCAGAACTCTGAGCTTACAGACACACATCTCTCATCACAGGAATGGTGCAGATGATCATGAGCTGAGCGCTGGGCCGGGTTCTTGGTCTGGTGTCCTCTTATCATCCCCCCAATAGCACAGAAAGAGGTCAGCATTTTGAAGGGCTCCACTTTACAGATGCAGAAATGGAGGTGCGCGAGTTAGCAAAAGTTCCAAGTTCACGGTGCTCCCTGCAGGTGGGAGTGGAAGAGATTTAGGAGAGATCTGACTGGAGTGCTCATGGAGCTGGGATAACACCCCTGGGTTACTAGGATGGTTTGGGAATTCATTACAGGATGCACAAAAAGCACCCAGCGTCGGGCCTGGCAGTGCCATCCAGCTCCCATGAGACCCTACAGGAGGCTGAGCGGGTGGGAGACGGAGCTGGGCTCTCTGATGTCCCAGCCTCCAGATAGATCCCACCAGGGAGGGAGGAAGGAAGCAGGAAGTGGTAGGTGAAGTGTCCAGGGACAAAGCCAAAAGAAGCAGCTTCAGCTCTGCCTGCACCAGGTCCAGGTCAGAGTGGGAGGGCCATGGTCTATTTCTGACATGCAGAGATGGATCAGCCCACTGCCAGGGCTGGGCCCAAGTCTCCTGGTCTGTGAGGAGAGAGTATCGTCCTAGGCAGAGGCCCTATGCATATCCCAGGAACTCTGGGATGCCCTCTAAGAGCACCTGAGAAAGACACAAGGTCTTACCCTCCCTGTCCTGGCAGTTGGCTGTGCCCAACCACGTAGTGATTCTTTTTTTTTGGTACTGGGGATCGAACTAGGGTCCTTGCGCTTGCGCACCAGGCAGTGAAACCACTGAGCTAACTCCCCGGCCCACGTAGTAATTCTAAAAGTATTTTCTGTAGAAACTGTCATCTGATCACAGTCAGAACCAGCCCAGATGCAGAGACAGAGATCTTTCTTTCTTTCCTTCCTTCTTTCCCTTCCCTTTCCTTCCTTCCTTCCTTCCTTCCTTCCTTCCTTCCTTCCTTCCTTCCTTCCTTCCCTCCCTCCTTCCTTCTTTCTTTCTTTCTTTCTTTCTTCCTTCCTTCCTTCCTTTCTTTCTTTCTTTCTTTCTTTCTTTTCTTTCTTTCTTTCTTTCTTTCCTTCATTATTTTTTGCAGTATTGGAGGTTGAACTCAGGGTCTTTGCACTGAGCTACACCCCTAGCCTTTTTGAAATTTTTTATTCTGAAACAGAACCTCACTAAGTGACTAAGTTGCCCACACTGGGCTAGAACTTGCAGTCCTCCTGTCTCAGCCTTCCAGAGTGCTGGGATTACAGGCATGTGCTGCCACACTTGGCTTCTGTTTTTGCATACCATTTCTCACTCTGCTTTACAACTGCCATCCTGCTGGTCCTACACCTCCATTACTGCCATCATCATCCAAAGCAAGCCCACTCACACATGCTCTAAGATAGGTGTTGTGGGGCACAACTTGCAAGCAGAGAAGGACCAAGGGTGGGGCACAGCCACTGCACCCTGGGAGCTATTCAGGCTGGGCTCCAGGTCTGTCTGCACCCACCGTGGGAAGACACGCACCTCATTGTATCCCACCTTATAAGTGGAGAGGGGTGCAGGGTGTGTCTCGTCAGCCAAAGGAAAGCAGGATCTTCCTGGTAAGAAAGAGGCTTTGCTGCTGAGGTGGCACCCAGATCTCCCTGTGGGGCTGCTGTCTTGGGGATGAGCCTGGAGGGCCATTTAGATTTGCTGTCCTAAACCATGGCCATCAGGGAGGAGAAGCCACCATCCCTTTCCCCACAAAGGCTTTCTCATTAACCACTTTTCAAGGAGGGCGAGGGGCACCCAGTGAACAAGTCCCCATGGCAGGGGCATCAGTGCCAACCTTCCTGGGCCAAGTAACCTAGGAGCCATTGGTCATTGTGTCTGCTGCTTCTTATGGCACTGCCTTCCTCCTCCTCCTCCTCCTCCTCCTCCTCCTCCTCCTCTTCCTCACTGCCCCAAAGTACATCTACCATTGAGCACTGTTAATCAGAAGAAATTGAAACTCTGCTTTGAAAATGTCACTGCTCCTTTGGACACCATGAGGGTCAGGCAGGGTATCACTAACCATCAGAAAGCATCCTGGCTTCAGACTGCACCAGGGACAGAGGCTTCCATTAGGGATACATAGAACCCTACTCTCACTGGCTGTGCCACCTGGGTGGGTCATGTAAGTCTCTGTGTCCTTGGATCTGTATAATGGGAACAACGGCAGGACCTCCCCTGATGTTCCACAGGTGATGTGTGACAAGAACCTGGTGTGGGATAGATGTTTGTGTGGAATCCGTGGAGAGAAGAAATTCAGGTAATAATTCTCCTCTATATTTAATAGGACTTCACAGTTTTCAAAGCATTTTTTAAATCCATTGCAGGGCTGATTACTGGATTCCTAAATGGGGAAAGAAAGCTCTGGGGAACAGGGTCTCTGGCCCTCCAGGGATTTCACCACAGGATTCTGACTGCTGCCATTTTAGAGTTCTGGTTCTATCAGGAACAGAGTTTGAATTAAACAGCAATTGCTCTTTAACGACCTTGGAGCACCTTTTGCCACAAGTGTATGGACCAATACAGCCCAGGTAACTCACTTTCCTTTCTTCCAAAATTGAATCCCTCAAGATTCACACCTTGGGGGAGCGGAGTGTTTCCTTGGCAACAGATGACTAATTTAGAAGTCCTGTGAACAGGTGGGAGACAGGAACGGACAAAAGAAGCAACATGGGCAGGTGTCAAGTTAAAACAGCAACAGGCTTTTGACAGACTCGGGGGTATACACTGGAGGGAGAATAGGCAGGGAGAGATCTCAGCTCCGGGAGCCCAGTGTGATACTCAAATCTGGCAGCTGGCCAGATGCAGGGCTTCCAAAAGGTGAGCTTGGCAGGTAGGTCAACCTAAGGAAAGCTTGGGCAGATCAGGACCCTGCCCCAGATTCATGACCTCAGTTCTCAGCCAGCTTTCTGTGGGTCACATGGGCTTGGTCCTAGGCTTCTAGTTTTCTCCCTAGGGCTTCTGCTGCAGCTGATTTCCAGCCACTTCTGGTGTCCTACAATGTGCAGTTCCTCTTATGCCAGTCTCTCTGTCCAAATTCTGCCCATCCTCCCAAGGCCCAGGTCAGAGCCTGTCTCTGGCCTTCTTGATGCCACCAGCACAGGGCATGCTCCTCTCACCATCTTCATCTCCTGCTGTTGCCAGCTGAGCTCGATGCACCTCCAGAGACCAAAAGCAGAGCGTTCAGACAGGCTTAAGGATCAGGAACCTTGTGGTGGGACTGAAATCATTAACTCCATGTTGCTTCATCCACTAAGCCAACCATAGGCACAAAGATTCTCAGCCTGCAGCCTCATCAGAACCACCAAGAAAGCCTTAAACAATGCTGAGGCCTAACCCTGCCCTGGATCATTGAAACCAAGCATCGTGGGACAACTAAGTCATTTCAAGTGCTCCTGGGGTGATTCTGATGCACCCTGAAGACAGGAATCACAGCAATGGGCATTCCTCATGCTTAGCTATGAAAGGGCCTTTTTCTAATGCAGTAAGGGTTCAATATATGGTAGCTATTGTTGTTCTTTTGTTCCTTTTTCTTTCTCTCCTCCTCCAGAAATGGAAACAAACAATCCAAGACTGGACGTAGGCTTAAACTGGCCAAATACCCAGGGAGAGTTGCCAAGGATGCCAAATACATATATAGCCACTCCTCTATAACATGCTCTTGGCAGGCATTGCTAATCAATTGCAGCACAGAATTGAACCAATGTCCTTATACTGTTCCATTGTTCTGGACTCCAGGTAGCTCCTGTCAAGTGGAATTTGCATCCTAGTTGAAACCTATCTGGTCCCCTGATAGAAGGGCAGAGATGGTGGTGATAGCCCCTGATATTTTAGTTTTTTCTTAACTGTGCTGTGGGCTCCTTAGGGTCTAGCCTGAGATTGGAAAGACAATTCCAAGTTTGTTCAAAGTTAATTTGTTTCTTCTTCTTTTCTTAGAAACTGGGTGCTGTTTTCTGTTGTCTCTCCTGGTGACCTAGGATAAGGAAAGTTGGATAGTGAGGAGTATACCGCCAGATCAGGATGCCTGTGTGCTTTTAGCAAAGCTGACTGTGTTGTTGATTTTTCCACCACTTAAACATGTATTGAAAGCCTCTGAGTCATGGGACTCCTCATGATCTTTCTTCCTAAAGGCCAGACTACAGGCTTGATAGGGGGCTGACCAACATTAGCTCCACTTTTCAAACTATGTACCAAATCCCCTTGATTATTCTAACCCTGAAATGCAAGTCTGCATCTCAGCCTGACTTTCCAGCCTGACCTTCTCCTGTACCCACCACGTTCTGCCGCACCATTGCTGTGTTCTCCTGAATATGTGCGTCTTCCTTCTTTTTGCCAGCACTTGAAACGCCTTTGCTTTCATTTCTGTCTGCCTAGATCTACCTACATGTAGAGAGCTACATGTAAAGACCTACTGAGGCTTCCGTGTCACATACTGTCCTGGATCTCTCTCTCCCCTGATCTCCTATTGTGCTCAAGATGTCCTATTAGCCAAGACAAGCACATGACCATAGATGCTCCTCAAGTTATGATGAAGTTACATCCTCATAAGCCCGTCATAAGTTCAAAATATTGTAAGTGACAAATGCACTTAATCCAGCAACAAATACACAATATGGATTGCTTTCTTTCATGATTATGTGGCTGACTAGGAGCTACAGCTTCTACATGTACTGACCAGTATTATGACAGCATATTGTACTGCATATCAGTAGCCTAAGAAAATATCAATATTCAAAGTATGGTTTCTACTAAGTGTACATTACTTTCACACCATGATGAAGTTTAAAAATTATAAGTCAAACCATTATAAAACAGGGGTGGCCTGTACTCCTTAAGCTTCTGCCAAGGGCCAGGCACTGTCCTAGGCTGCAGCTTTAGGAATCTGATTTTATTTAGTCTTAGCAGTAGTTTTATTTCTTAGATCTTATCATCCTCATTTCAGTAACTTTCCCAGGTCAATGATTATCTAAGGTAACAGAGATTTTAAGAGGCAAAGTTCACATCTATGCCTTTCCAGGGTCTGTTCTTTCTTCCATCTTCCTCTATTTCCACAGGAGAATTTCCCCTTGTCTCCCTTGTACATAGGATTTGGACTCAGATAAGCTAGATTCAAGGCCCAGACCACCTATTTTATTGCTTTGTTTGGGTAATTTACTTAACTTCTCTATTTTGTTTCTGAAATAATCCCCACCCATCCTAGTCCATAGATCAGAGAGCTTCTCTCCTTGGGTGTAAGTCTCTTGGGATGAGGCCTTGTTATACCCATCTTTGTACTGCATAGTACTTGATTGGCACTGGGCCTGTCCCAGTAAACACTCCATACAGCCTTGTAATTCAAGGAAATGAAATTGAATGAGTTGACATGCCAGGGAAAAAATCCAAACACTTATTTTTTGGGTCCAGAATTGATTGCTCCCAACAACATCACCTGGAGAGGATTTTGGTCACACTCACTGGTAACTGATTTTCTGTTTGCTTTGTTTAGCAAATTCCTTCACAGAGAGACTGAAAGGGAGCCTGGGAAGGCAGGGGAAGGGTGTGGGAAGATGCTGGAATCTGAGAAGGCGCTCAGATTGTTGGTTGAACATACTGCTGTCTGTGTGGAAAATGTTCACAGCAGTTACAACTTTGGATGAATATGCATTAGCGGCGGTGCTGCAATTGGCCCGCGTGCGCCACGCTACACTTAGAGACTTGGCAAGATGGGTAATTATCTCCACATTATGTGCCTTGTCTCTTTCTCTTCTTAATTAAGTAACTAATCTGGTGGAGGAGAGCTCTGTTTGTGTTTGTTTGGCAGGTGCAGCCTCGTGACAGTTGTCTGGAGAAGTTTCTTGGAAATTTATGAGACTTTCAAAACACAAACTGCTCGGAGCCGAGCCGACCTGCTGGAGACTGGGAGAATCAGAGGCAGGTCTGACCTGGAGCCCAACAACATGACGACCCCGGTCCTTGCACATGGAGTGGCTCCTGCCAGTGGGGCTCACCAGCAGCACTGACCTTCCAGGTTGCCCCCAGGTTAGCAGGAGCAGGTTGCTCCAAAAGATAAATGTCCCTCTCAGGCTGGGGATTTAGCTCAGTGGTTCCGCCACCTGCCTCGCAAGTGGAAGGTCCGGAGTTCGATCCCCAGTACCAAAAAAAAAAAGAAAAGTGTTCCTCTCCTCCTGGGAAGAAGGGAGGTCAGAGACCATAATTAGAATAACAATGCATGCTCCTTTCTTCCTTGTTTCCTTCTACAGTTCTGTATTTGAGCAGACCCCTCCCCAAAGCCCTATCAAGCTATCTGTAAAGAAATTGATTAAACAGTTTAAGAGCTGGCCACTTATTGAATAATGATCACACCATTCACAGTAAAACGTGCTGGCATGATGTGCATGGCTGGGCTGGATTGAATGAACCTAAAGTCCTTGTCCTGTGACCCAGAGCGCTGCAGAGTGGTGTGTGGACCATGACTTTAATGGCTCCTCCAGGCTTCACAGTGTAGCCTGATCCAGAGGGTGAAGGACAGCGCAGCTTCTTTTGGAGTCCATGGGTTAGCTGCACAAGACAGGTGAGAATGAGCCAGGCACACCCAGGGAGGGAAAATGAAGGAGCTACCAAAGCTGTGCGAGTGGCCACAGTGTACGTCACAAGCATGTCTGTCAATCATCGGGAGATTACTCTGAGCAAACCCAAATGCACAACGCAGTCAGAGGCAGCTGTGGGCTGCTGTGCTCAGCCAGCTGCATGGCCCAAGGCGCCCTTGCTTTGACCCTTGAGTTCTGGCTTTCTATTGGAAATGGGGGGGCTTGTTTTCTGTGTAGTTCTAGGCACTATGTCTCCCACACTTGCCAGTTCAATGAACTAAGCTGCCAAACTCCTCTCTTTAGAGGCCCATGCCAGGGAGACAGGGTGTGCTACAGAGTCTGAATGCTCCCCAAAATTCTGGACCCTCAACCAAACCCTAATCTTCATGCCACTGTGCAAGGATTTTGCAGATGGGAGCAAGGTCTCCAATCAGTTGATTTAAAGACAAGGAGATTATTGGGTGGGCCTGACCTGATCACACAGGCCCTCAGCAGTGCAGGGTGTGTCCCCAACTGGTTGCAGAAGAGAAAGTCTGAGGTATGCAGTGTGACAAGATTTCCTTCCATAAACCATTTCTGGATTGGAAGTGGAGAAGTCCAGAGGCAAGAAAACAGAAAACAAAGACACCAGAGAATAGAGATCACTCCCAAAGCCACAAGAAATCATATTCTGCCAAACAACAAGAATGAGTTTGAAAGTGGATTTTCCCCAAAGACCTACAGAGGAGTACTCAGGCTGTCCACCCTGATGTCACTTGTGTTAGACCCTGAGCAGGGAACTCATCAACACTGTGCCAGGTTCTGATTGATGGGACGGAGAACCTATGGATGGGTGCTATTCAAAGCTACTTAGTTTCTGCTACCATGTTATGCACAGAAGAAAATTAATGCAGGTGATAGGCCCCTCACCTGACATAAGGAGAAAAGCTGCATTAAGGGACTCTGCTTTTCCTTCCACCATCTAAGCAGAGGGGCTCCAGTTCCTTCTGTGAAAGTAGGGATAGGACTCCGTGTCCTTTAAAGTCCCTCTTAACATGCTCGTTCCAACTGTGGCCACAGATACTACATGAAGATGCACCTGAGATCCCTACTTTTCTTTGCATAGCATCTTTGCCTTCAAGGTCAAAGAAATCCTCCTCTAAGGCCATATTTGGACTGTCATGCTCTCCTCAAACATCTTTCATGGATCTCCATTGCCTTTAAGAAGAAAAGGAGGCCCTCCTCTTTCTACTATTCAGTGTCTACGTGATTTGGGCCCAGCCTAACTTTTAGCTGTGGGTGCCACTCCTCCCCCACATACCATATACAACCATGGGTGTCTGTGTTCATCCTCTCTACTCTACTGTCCATGCTATCCATGCCTATTACCAGCCTAAAAATTAAACAGAAGCATTTCTGTCACAGCTTTGGAAGCTGGAAGCCTAAGATCAGGGTACTAGTTGGGTTGGATTTTCTGATGAGGACCCTCTTCCTGAGGGCAGCTTTCTTGCTGTGTATTCATATGGTAAAAATATGATCATCTTTCTGGTATCTATTCTTTTTTTTGGTACCGGGGATCGAACTTGCAAGGCAGGAGGCAGAATCACTGAGCTAAATCCCCAGCCCACTGGTATCTATTCTTAGAAGGGTCCTAATTTCATTTGAGGCTCCATCTTCATGACCCCCCCAAAGGCCCCACCTCCAAATATCATCCCATCAAGATTAGTATTCCACGTGTGGATTTTGAAGAAAGAGAAGCATTCAATCTGTAACAACTTCCCATCTTCCAAAGTCTAGCTCTAGTCAATCCACTCCAGAAATACTTCCTGGTATTTCTATAGGAATAGGGTTTCATTTTGGTGGTAATGATAAGAAATTCAATTCAAATTAGCTTGAGAAAAACAAGTGGACACTAGATATTTATGGAATTGTGGAGTCTAAAGTTAATCAGATGGATCCAAGGGAAAAAACTATGTCCTGGAACTTTGTGTGTGTGTCTCTCTCCCTATCTTGTTTCTTTGCTTCCTCCTATAAATCTGCAGCCGTCTTCATATGGGCTAAAAAGTATTGCTCGTGGTAGCACCAAGTCTGATTCCTACAGCTTGAAAATCAAAAGCAAGAGGTATCCTGTCTTCTCTAGCGTTTCTATACGAAGGATCAAAGAAAATTGAATGGTCCTGCTTGGACCATTTAGTTATCTTGGACCAATCATTTCATCCAAATAAGCACTGTTCTGATTGGCCAGAGGGGTATCCATCTTGAACCAATCCACTGCATTTAAGCAGATAAATATTTCTCTGACTGGCCACTGGGTCATCTGCCTGAACTTTAGTGGGAGGAACAGGGCTGTGACTGATAACCTTCTAGACCACATGGCCTGGGGAAGGTATAGTTTTCCAAGGATGATGGGAATAAGCAAGAAATATGAGACAAACAAGAAATGCCCATCCAGCTCTCACTTCACCATGCTGTATACTTCTGCTGTTTACCATCTCTCCATTCAGATGGCCAACATCACACACTAACCTGTACAGGAGATATGTACAGTGGATGAGCTGATCAATTTCTCACACAATGATTCACATGCAGAGACATGTCCCCCTCAGCTTGGAAAGGGCAAGGTGGCCCCTTTGGCTGGCTCAGCTTTTCCTCAACCACTCCTGGATGCAGACCTCTGCAATCCACCAGCCCGGTGTCCAGCCCACTGGCCTTGTGATCCACTCCTGGTCTTGCCAAGAGGCTCCTCTCTTCTCTCTCCCTGCTACAGCAGGCTCTATGCTGGGGAACAGTTGGGACTCACACCACCACCTCCTCTCCTTTTCCAACTCCAACTCTTGTCTGAGCCTTAATGGCAAACAGGGATGTGCTTTGTCCACACACTAGGAGGACTCTGTGAGCTATGTCCCCAGTCTTGGCAGTTAATATTTATTGGGGAAGAAAAAGGAATTTAGAAAATCCTCTCTGAAATCAGCATTTGGCTTACTAGACTATTGCTCAGATGCATAATCCTATTCTGTGTGTCAATAACTGAATATTGTCTCAATCTTTCATTCTGAATCATTTTTGAAACAAAATCTAATCTCCCACCAAGCAGACAGTTCCCTAGGATGGACCAAGAAGGTCATTCTCAAAGAAGGGAAAGAGACAGCATACTGAAAAATGAAAAGCATCCTCCAACCCTGAGTGAGCCACTTTTCCCTTGGCCAGATTGCCTGCCCCCATGGGGTTCCACACAGAACCCAGAACCACAGCCTTTGCAGGGCTCTTATATGAGAAGTGTCCCTTGGCTAGAGAGAGCTGTGTTCCACAAGCAAGACTCAAATACTGCATTTCGTTAGGCCCTCATATGCCACTAACTCCATCAATTAATTTTTAAGAGTTCTTGGTACCTGCTGGGTGATGGGTACTGTGTGCGCACTGTAGGTGCAAAGATGGATGCAGCTAGAAGGCATGCTGTTTGTTGAGACAGCAACCTCCTTACACTGGATGGACTACTGGGGAATGGAGGTTGTAAAATGCCCCTAGAGCTCTTATCTACCTCTCATGCTGCTCTTGATTGTCTGGAAGCCTGCTCAAACTGTTCTGTAGATCTCCCACGCTCCATTTCCCTTACTCCTCCCCACTGATATTGAGCATGCAAAGACCTCTGTTTCTTAGAATGTGCTTAATGTATCATTGCTTGACCTGTTCTATAAATATTGGTGCCCATAGTGCCAACTCCCTGATGCATGATGGGAAGGCCACCCTGGAAGTACAGTTCAGTTGAGCACCTGATTTATTGCTTGGGTTACAGACGAGTAAGAATTCTTAATGGAAGTCACTTCTTTAATGACCCAGGAAATGTGGAGGGGACAGTAGCTCACTAAATCCTTTCCTCTTTGGCTTTTTTTTTTTTTTTTTTTTGGCCATGGCTAGTCCGCACGTTACGGTTTCCACTCAAAGACATGCCTGGGGATTGATTCTGGTTTTGGGCAACTCACACATGCCGAGTGTAAATTGTAGACCCATTACAGCTAAAATAAGCGAAAGAGGCTGCAGTAATTTTAGGACAGCAAATAGATGATTGCAAAGTAGTGTGGAAAAATGTTGTTTCTGAGGACAAAGGAAGGATGAAATTTTGCCAAAGGATTTTGCCAGAGATGACTCAACATTGAGCCATTCGATGTTGGAAAACATTCTCAGCATAGAAGGATAGAAGAAGCTGCAAACTTGCAGGATCAGAACTAATGCTAGGCCTGGATCTACCACTGACTAGCTGTGTGACCTTGGGAAAGTCACTTTCCACCTCTGGATTTTGTAAAGCAAAATAAGCTTTAGTCTTAATTCTGGAGCTCTTCACCATTCCTTCCAGGGGCAAGAGGATATGGCTTTGTGGTCCAGCTGAGATTACCTTCCTTGAGACTATTGCAGATCTTCATGGTTTTCAAATAGGCTCGTTGCCATGGAGATCATTCAGAAAACTGTCATTGCCCACCTGTGCACCCAGAGGAAATGGCTTTGGAGTTGCTCTGGAGAGGAAGGTAGGGGAGGATAGGGCTCTCTTTGATACTTGGCCAGTGAACCTCTGGTTAGAGACAGTTTCTAGAGAGGTGATTGGGTAGGGAAGGGAGGAAAGCTGGTCTACCTAAGAGAAGCAGGGACAGGATTTTGGAATGAATCTCCAGTTCATGAGCTCTGTGAACTTGGCCAAACTTTTCTGGACTCAGCGTCCTCATCCAGACAATGGGGGCTCTCTCTGGAGTCCCTGTCTTCACACCTGCT